GCTGTTTCCGAGGCAATCTCCTTCGAATCAGGTGAAAAGGTGCTAAGCTTTCGTCCGTCACATGACCAACATCATCAGAGCAGGGAAGGTATCATCGTCACAACCAAAATCAAGCTGACGAGTCAAGAAAACTCACCGGCGAATCCCTAAAAAGTGGTATATATACTCTACCTCTGGCCTCTTTGATCAAGTATAAAGTGATCTGGTTAGTTAAGGTCATATGTCAACCCAACACTTCCACTCGAAATGGAAGTAAGCTCAACAATTATGAAACAAGATTTTCCTCCAAACCCAACTTTTCTCGTCAACTCTCGGACTACAGAAATGTGGCAGATATGGCCTTTGGCTTAGCCGCAGTCTTCGCATAGTCTTCGCTGCACAGTCTTGTTGTGATCTTATTTCGCAACTGGGTCGAAGCTGCAAGACCTTTTGGAGCATATCTACTCTTGCCTCTTTTGTCCAAGTAAAGTGATGTCACGGTACAATATCATACAGTTGCGTCGCCAACGTAGTCGGCACTAAAGTAGCAACAGAAAATTGTCGTGAATACTAGAGTTCAAAGGATGCAGGACTGGATACGTGCCACAAGGTCTCTCTGTCACTCCGATCAGATCGCGAAAAAAGACATTACAAAAATGTTTTCATAAAAGAGAGATTTCAAAAATAGCAGTAACTAATGCATAATAGCCACATTTAGCCTAGACTGCATAAGGTGATGGAGGAGTAATTGTTATATATTCCCACAAAGGCAAGTGTAGGCCTGACTGCCCCATCAACTAACATGTGGCTTTCGTAAATATGAAAAGCAAGATGTTGTAGTCTCTGTTTCAGTCCGGCCTCGATTTCGCTAATTAATCGTGTCGTCAAAGTGACCTACAGTTGGGTCCAAACGTCTGAATCGTTTACACTAAAATATGAATGATAAATTTTTACTAATTTGATACTTATTTGTAATTTACACAATATTTATCAATGCAAGAAATGAAAAGTTTTACAAAGTTGACATGTCTTTGTGCAAAATTGAAATTTATCTGAACATCGTGTTCATATCCAATTTGATACGGTTTTATATAAATGGACATTTGCTGCCTTGGCTTGCCCACCTAAACAAACGCGCATATTGTAATTTAAAAGTAATTATAGTTAGATTAAGCAAAATTGACTAAATCATTAAATATATGTACATTATTTAAGTTTTTAACCATTTGATCTTCTTTACTTGGGGCGAGATGCAGGTCTGACAATGAGCACCCAATGCCCTGGTAGATGTAAGTTCAGTCCATTAAAAAGAGCTTAAACATCACTTTGAGGTGTAGTCAGAACATCAAGCAGGACACGCAGATTAGGGCCCAGAGGAGGGAGGTTGAAATACAAATTAGAGGTACCATGTACGAATATGATGAGACCTATATTTGGGTAGAAAAGTTAGTCTACTATCACAAAATGTGTTTATTTCATCGTTTACAATGAAATATGAATGATAAATTTTACTAATTTGATACTTATTTGTCATTAACACAATATTTATCAATGCAAGAAATGAAAAGTTTTACAAAGTTGGCATGTCTTTTGGCAAAATTGAAATTTATCTGAGCATCGTGTTCATATCCAATTTGATACGGTTTTTTCAATGTCTGTAAAGCGAAAGAAGCAATTGAAATTGTAGCACATTTGCTCTCAATAAACAAAGCTAGAAATGTGTGCCAGGCCCGTGCGAAGTGCAAGAAGTGCTGACTTGCATGGCTTTTCCTCCTCTACACTCCCCAGACCTCAGCCTCACTTCCATTTCGAGTCCACCCGGGCTGAGCACCCGTCACTCTCCCTGTATGTGTGTGTGTGTGTGTGTGTTTATTTGGGCGATAATGTGTCGTCGGGATGTGTTCCACTCGGTCATGAATCGAGTTCGGGTGGTGATGAGAGGCGGTGGGGCGAGATCGAGTCTGCAATCGCGTCGAAACGGGATGAGTGAAGACCGGCTCAGTTGACGAGGGACCCAATTTGTGTAGACGACACCTTCCGACGGTGTCGAGAGTACCAATGAGGGGTCGTTTGTGCTGAAGCGGTTGAGATGCCTCTTCGACGTGAGGCTGGTTTCGCAAAATCTGTTGATGCCTAATTGTTGAGCTCATTTGCCTTTCGAGTGAAAATGTCTTTGATGACGAGATTGGAAGTTGCATCGCAACACAAGACGACGCGGTTTTTGGTACGTCTGCAGCTGTGCGTAAAATAAGCGAGACACTCAAAACATTTAATGTAAGAAATAATACCGGCGAGAAGTTAAGTAAGTACTACTTATGCCTAATTAGTAGACTCAAGGATGATAACGGTGTAACTCAACTAGTCTTTTCTTGTATGCAGGTTTCGATTAATCTCAACCGATGACGTTGTTAGAGAGACTTTCATTTCATCAAAGACATCAACATAACTTGCCGTGCGTCCACATTTGCGCACTTGTAGTTATGCTCAAAGTATGTAAAATATATAAAACTATAACGGTAGTGATGGCGGTCGTCAAGCCTTGATGACCGAGAACTGAATTTACTTTTTCTGTTTTAATTACTTTTGTACATATACGAACACATGAGGCACGTTAGCACACGTATACACACACACACACCCGCTCACATGCTTCCAAGTTGACATATTTCTTGAATTAACCGAAATTAAGTAAGTACTACTTATGCTTAATAAGTAGACGAAAGGATAGAAATCAAAAACTGGCCGAATGAGAGTGAAGGTTATCGTGAAATCGGCCCAGTTTACGTTGGACGCAATTTTTCCCAACGACACCTTCTGACGGTATTAAAAGTTAGAATCTGAATAACTTTGTTCTGAAATAGTTGTTATGCTCTTTTGACCCGACTCCAACCCCGCCTCCACCCCAACCCGCCGCATCTTCGTTTTCCATTCGCCCAGGCAACAGGCAGCGCAGGCGTCGAGGAGGGAGCCGCTCGCCTCCGCGGCCGAGCTGGTCCTCGAGCGTCGGGTGCAACGCGCCCTTTCCGGAGGCGCTGGCGCTGGTAGCCTCAAGGCCTTGTCGTCAACGCCAACCGACCTCGAGTATCCGCGGTTGGCTTCCGCTTGGCCTCGGCCTCGGCCTCGGCCGAGAACCAAACCGACCTCGGACGAGTCGACGGACCAAACATGTCCGTACACGTCGAACGGACCGCCGTGTCTCCTCGACGGCTTCCCATTGGGTGAGCCGTTCGACCGAGTTCCGCTCCCACCGCGTCTGATTGGCTCGACTGGGCCGGTCGGACAACGTCCATGCCCACGAGACC